CTCCCCGCGTTTGAGACTATAAAAATTAGGTTATGCTAACAACGGGTGCAATTTTTGTATATTTATATCTATTTTTCTTGGTGCAAGTTCATTCGCGCCAAGATGGCTCGCGCCAAGATGGCTTGCGCCAAAGTGTTCCTGCGCCAAAGTGTCCCTGCGCCAAAATGTCTCGCGCCAAGTCGGCCGCGCCAAGTTGGCCGCGCCAAGTCGGCCGCGCCGAATTGTCCTAGACCGACTTCCAGTCTGTTTACAAACTGAAAAGTCTTCCGAAAAATGATAATGTAAACATTGAAACGCCAGTATTTACAAGTACCATCAAGTTATACGCAGAAGAAGTACTACAAAGCCTTAATGAAATTGATCCCTCAAAAGGTGCAGGACCTGATGGCATTTCCCCTTCCTTTATTAAACACTGCTCAAATGAATTATGTCTTCCTATTTTCTATATTTTTAATCTTTCCTTAAAAAATGGTCAATTTCCTACTTTTTGGAAGCATAGCTTCTTAAAACCTATACACAAAGCTGGCGACAGAGCCAACGTCACAAACTATAGGCCCATATCTATACAATCATGTATTCCAAAAGTGCTCGATAAAATTATCACTACACGACTTACTGAAAAGTTTAAACACTTAATAGTAGATGAACAACACGGCTTCTATAGTGGACGATCGACAGTTACTAACCTATTTTTATACACCAATTATATAAATAAATCTCTGGAAAGTGGCTATGAGGTTGACGCCGTGTACACAGACTTCCGGAAAGCATTTGATTCCGTCAATCACCAACGCCTTTTATTCAAATTAAATAAAATCGGAATCCACGGTACACTCCTGTCATGGCTAGAGTCGTATTTAACTAATAGAACTCACTCAGTTAAAATAAATGACTTTTGCTCTAGCTCTGCCTTAGTAACCTCTGGGGTACCTCAGGGCTCACACATTGGTCCATTTCTATTTTCAATATACATAAATGACGTCAAGTCGGTTATTCATCATTGCAAATTGCTCATGTTCGCAGATGATTTAAAGCTCTTTAAACAAGTTTCCAAAAACAGTGATGAAAAATATATCCAGACTGACTTGAATAGTTTCACAAAATGGTGCTCGTTAAATGACTTAGATTTAGCTTTAGACAAATGTAAATGCATTAGATTTAGTCGCAAGTTAAACAAAACTAAACCCAGGTATATTTTAAACGGCGCTGAACTTCAATGTGTGCAGTCAATCAAGGACTTAGGATTTCTAATTGACGCAAAACTCTCATTCAATTTGCACCTCGAAACCATAATTTCTCGAGCTAATCGTATGCTTGGTTTCATTAAAAGGATTACGGTCTCCTTCACGAGTACTAGAGCCCTTACAGTTTTGTACGGCGCCTTTGTGAGGTCAATACTGGAATATGGGACTGTTATTTGGTCCCCAAGGTACAAATTTTATGCGGATCGCATCGAAAAAATACAACGGAAATTCATCAAATTTCTTTGTTTTAAGAATCGCGTTTGTTATGCTCAGGATCAATACAAAACTCTGTGTTCCTATTTTGGTTTACCGCTACTTTGTAGTCGACGCATGTTCTTTGACATTTATTTTTGTTATAAAGTTATCAATAGTTTTTTAAAATGTACGCCTATCTTAGAACTTTTTCATCTCGCTGTGCCTGTAGTTCTATCTAGAAACTCGCCTCTTTTCAAAATATATTTTCACCGAACAAACTATGGGCAAAATTCGCCCATTACACGAATTAAACTAACAGTAAATAAGCATCCTAGCATAAATATTTTTAATTGTTATCCAAGTAGTTTTAGGACTGAATGTCGAAAAGAACTGAATTTGTAACATATTCTTTTGTTTATATGTATTTATATTCTCTCTCTTTAGCAAATGTATTGGTATATCCGTAATAAACATTATTTGCATTTCTTAATTTATAAATTGTTCAATTTTTAACTTTTCGATTTTTCGATTTTGGCCTATTTCGGTTTCTCAATTGTTCGATTTTTCGACTCCACGATTTCGATGTTGCGATTTTTCAGTTATCCGATTTTAAATTTGGGAGTTTCGATTTCTTGATTTTTCGTTATCTGGTTTTAAAATTTCAGATTTTTGAATTTTACATTTTTTCGATTTTCTGATGCTTTATTTTTCGATAAATCGAGTTCTCAAAAAATTGAAAAATCGAAAAATAAAAAATTCAGAAAAAAGAAAAATTAAAATATACAAGAACTGAAAACTCGAAAAATTCAGAAATCGAAATATATATAAAACAGTCGAAAATTGAAAAATCTTAAGTTTGAAAAACGAAATACTGAAAATCCAAAAAATTAAAAATCGAAAAATAAAAATATTGAAAAATCCCAAAACTGAAACAAATATCCAAAATTGAGAAATTAAAAAATAAGCCAACCGAAAAATCCAAAAATCGAAGAATTGAAGAACTGAGAAATCGAAACTGCGAATTCGAGAAACAGGAAAATTAAAAAAAATATATTAATTGAAAAATCGGAAAACTGAAAATTTAGCAACGTCAGAATTTGAAAAATTGGAAAATAGAAATGCTGAAGAACTGGAAAATCAAAAATCCAGAAATCGAAAAATCTAAAATTTAAAACATTGAACAATTGGAATATCGCAAAATTGAAAAATGAAAAAATCCAAACATCAAAGAATCAGAAAAGAAAAATTCGAAAACCTAAAACTTAAAAATCGGAAAACTTAAAAATCGATAAATCGAAACTCCAGAATTTAAAAAAATTGAAAAATCGAAACATCGAGAAATAGAAAAAAATTGAGAAACTAAGAAATTGAACAATCAAAACATCCAAACATCTGAATTCGATAAATTACAACATCTAAAAGTTGAAAAAAAAATGAGAAATCGAAGCATAAAACTGTCGAAAATTTGAAAAATCTAAAGTTCAACGAAAAATTGAAAATCCAAAAACTAAAAAAGGGGTGGAAACCCAAAAACTCCAAAATGAAAAATTTAAAAATTGGAAAATCGACGAATTGGAATCGATTGGCCTGAAAATTTGAAAAATTGAATAAACGAAAAATTGGAAAATCGAAAGAACAACAAAAATTAAGGAAATGAAAAAACAAAAACTTGTGACAAAATCGAGAAAATAAAAAATCAGGAAAACGCAAAATAAAAATCGGGGAGTTGAAAAATTGAGGGGACAAAAAATTGAAAAAGGAAAAAATTAAAAATCAAGAATGTGAAAAATGGAAAAATGAGAAATTGTAATATTGAAAATTTGGAAAATTTGGAAGTCCACAAATTGTAAAAATGAAAAATCAAAAATAAAAAAACGGAAAAGTGTATAATAAAAACTTGAAAAATGTACAAAGTGAAAATAAAACTTGAAAATTTGAAAAAAATTGAAAAAACCTGAAAATTTGAAAAATTGAATAAACGAAAAATTGTAAAATCGAAAAAAACAACAAAAAATAAAGGAAATCAAAAAACGAAAAATTGTGATATAAAATCGAAAAATAAAAACTGGAAACAAAAAAATTGGAAAAGGGAAAAATTAAAAATTGGGAAACTGAAAAAATCGAAAATTGAAAAACTGTAATATTGAAAAATTGCCAAATTGAAAAACTGATGCAAACCGAAAAATTAAAAATGTTGGAAGTCGAGAAATTGTAAAATTGAAAAATCAAAAATAAAAAGCCAAAAATTACAAAATGAAAACTTGAAAAATCTTAAGAATGGAAAAAGTGAAAAATAAAAAAAAAGAAATACGTATTATGAAATAGAAATATTGAAAATTAAAAAAATTGGAAAATCGGAAGACTGGAAATCCAAAAACTGCAAAGTGAAAAATTTTAAAATTGAAAAATGGACGAACTGAAAATTCAGAGCCTGAAAATTTGAAAAATTGTAAAATCGTAAAACCAAAAAAAAAATAGAAAATAAAGGAAATGAAAAAACGGACAATTGTGATATAAACCGAGAAAATAAAATTAAAAATTCGCCACATTGAAAAATAAAAATCGGGAGCATGAAAAACTGTGAAAACGAAAAATTGAAGAAACGATAAACTGAAAAATCGAAAGAAACAACAAAAAACAAAAGAATTGAAAAAATGAAAATTTGTGACATAAAATCGAGAAAATGAAAATTAAAAAAATCGGGAAAATGAAAAATAAAAATCGAGAACTTGAAAAATCGAGGAAACGAAAAATTGAGAATGACAAAAATTAAAAACTGAGAATGTGAAAAATCGAAAAATAAGAAACTGTAATATCGAAAAATTGCAAAATTAAAAAATCGCAACGCGAAAAATTGAAAAATCAAAAATAAAAAAACGAAAAAGTATATAATGAAAAGTTAAAAAATGTCAAAAGTGAAAATCAAACATGAAAATTTGAAGAAACGAAAATTTGAAAAGTCGAAAGATTAAAAATTGAAAAACTTGAAATTCGAAAAAGTGCAAAATAAAAAAAAATAAATATGTATTGTAAAATCAAATATTGCAAATTAAAGAAATTGAAAAATTGGAAGACTGGAAATTTGAATAAATAAAAAATTGTAAATCGAAAGAAACACATTTCAAATGGGATGAAAACTGCCCCAAACCAGGCCGAGTGATACCGCCTTAAACTGTGTTGGTAGAAAATATAACGTTATTATAACTTGCGAATATTTTTGCGAAAATTTGAACGTTTAGCGAAAAAACTGAAAGCGCATTCGTACACTACAATTATAGGAGTATATTTTTGTAGAATATTCAAATCATTTTAAAATACGGTTCATTGAGATGACGTCATCAAATTGTGACGTCTAATAAAAATGGACACAGGACACTGATACCAGACAGACGACAGACAGAAACGGGAGACTAATTTTTTCGTACTGTAGGGGTCATGAAACGTCGAGAAAACATAAAAGTGGCAATTCGTCTGATGGACTCGATTACTATACTTCCTTGGCTTACGCTCGGGAAGTAAAAAGTGAAATCTGGTTTTATTTCTTTAATAAAAATCAATAAATTTACTTTTGCAGTGATATATCTAATCATCTTTACAACTTTAATATAAAATTATAATGGCAAACCTAAAAATGATAAAAATGAATTAACATTAAGAAGACAATAAGGAATGGTAATTTATCAGCTATTTGCACCTTTCAAATGTTTACATATTAATTCTAAATGCTTGAGTCTAGGTTGCAACTCCTACAAGACATCATATTATAATCACTTAGTCACAATTAATAATATTCTTACCACAAACAGCGGAGACAACTTTTCACCAGTTTGCTCTTTGGTCAAAATAGTCAATAAATGAATAACTTTATGCTGAAACATAAAACCTGTATTAAAGCAAAAATAATTTCAATCATTCCATACCCTAACAATTACTTCATTAATAAATATACTTTGTACTTGGTTCCATGGAATAAATAAATCCTTCTGACCTACAACATACTTTGAGGTGACCTGATACCCTAACGAATGCACCATAATTAAAGATTCTGCAACACAAAATAATTAGCGCCTTGTCCATTCAAAAACTCACTAAACCCACCTTCATGTACAACATTCAGAAACTGGTATAAAAGAACAACAAAAATGGCAGTAATATACTTGGTTACGTTGAAGTCTTGTAGAATGAAAACATCGGTTAACGAGATAATCAACACAGCCCCCAAGAGCCGTACAGCGATCCCATAAAGACATGAGACCAGCTTTCTTTCTAACGTGACGGAAACACACCTTCCCTGTTTATCTATTCGTATAACCGTGTCCGCACCGCTGAGATTTTTGAAATTTTGCGACAACCTGCTTTTAGAAACGGAGTATTTAACCATATCGGCAGCATTTTCAACTGTTCTAATTAATTAGCTCTTCGCTGCTCGGCGGCTTCGACCTGTCCATTTAACGTCATGCATTGTGTTTTAGAGGTTATTTTAAGTGACTGACGTTTAGTGGTTAAAAGAAAAGTCCCTAGGTCGGCGCAGTTTTTGATATTTTGATTTTTCCTGTCGCGGTTAATAAATTTGGAGTAGAATGCTTGGTGTTTGATGGTGTTAGAGTGGCGGAAATTGATTCTGAAATTTATTTGGTTTGTTTGTTGTGTAAAAATGGGTTTTTTGTGACATTAAGGTATCCCGATTTGAAATTGGCGCCTCGGTATGCGCGCTGTCCTTGCATTTGCCCTTGTGAACCCCGTTGAGCGTTGTTGTGAATTCAATATGGCGATAATTAGTGTTGTGTCCGTTTACGAAAATAAGTCATAAAATATCGAAATTTACGAATAGATAATGAACGCGAATAATTTATTGGGAGAATTGGATAAATTTGCGCGTCTGTGACGGTAATTTAGATGGAATCGGGCATATGTTTTGTGTTTTGAATCAGCGTGTTTGCATTGGGCTGTAAATTAATTAAATTTGGCATACAGAGGTTTTGATTGTAAATCAACTTCTAATAAATCGTCACTACACAGGTTAGTAGATAACCTATAAAGAAGTCACATTTTGGGTTCAATTTACGCGCGGTAACGCGTTTGAGCCGTTGACATTGAGTTTATACTTGCTCTAACACTGACTTTGTGACTTAATTTCAGGCGGAATGTGGGAAAAATACCAGTTCAGTGAGAAAGACTAAAACGAAGAAATCATGACTGACACAAGAAGGAGAGTGAAGCTGTATGCTTTGAACGCGGATAGGCAATGGGATGACAGAGGCACAGGCCATGTCTCCTCTTCGTATGTTGATCGTCTCAAAGGCATATCTTTACTAGTTCGAGCCGAGAGCGACGGGTCTCTACTACTGGAATCAAAGATACAGCCTGATACTGCCTACCAAAAGCAGCAAGACACTCTGATTGTGTGGTCAGAGGGAGACAACTTTGATCTAGCTTTGAGCTTCCAAGAGAAGGCAGGTTGTGATGAGATTTGGGAAAAGATCTGCCAGGTACAAGGCAAAGATCCTTCAGTTGAGATTACCCAAGACATTGTAGAAGAATCTGAGGATGAGCGTTTCGATGAAATGTCAGATTCTGCACCTCCTATTGAGCTACCGAGTTGTGAACTTAGCCGCTTGGAAGACATTAGTGAATTAATTAGTAACTGTGTGAGTTCGCAAATAAGAAAAGAAAAGTTATCAGCTGCCATCGAGAGTGACGGTTATATTCGTAAATTAATCAATGTGTTTCATATGTGTGAAGACCTGGAGAATATCGAAGGCTTGCACCATTTATATGACATATTTAAGAACATTTTTCTTCTGAACAAGAACGCGCTGTTTGAGGTTATGTTTAGTGATGAGTTGATATTCGACGTTGTTGGCTGTTTAGAATATGATCCGTCGTCTCCAACGCAGAAGCATCACAGGGAGTACCTAAAACAGCAAGCCATGTTCCGAGAAGCCATCCCCATTAAGAATCCTGAACTTTTATCAAAGATCCATCAAACATTTCGAGTTCAGTACATTCAGGATGTAGTGTTACCTACGCCGTCTTTATTCGAAGAAAACACGTTGACCACACTGGGTAGTTTCATATTTTTCAACAAAGTCGAAATAGTGTCGCTAGTTCAAGAGGATGAAAGGTTTTTGACCGAACTTTTTACCATGTTGACCGATGTTAATACGCCTGAGTCGAAAAGAAAGGACTTGGTTTTATTTCTAAAGGAATTCTGTAATTATTCACAAAATCTTCAGCCTCAAGCTAAGGAAACTTTCTACAAAACGCTAACCTCATTAGGTATATTACCTGCATTGGAGATTACATTGGCCATGGATGACCAAAAGACCAAGACTGCTTCCATTGATATACTTACTTATATTGTGGAGTTTTCACCATCTGTGGTCAGGGAATATACATTACAGCAAGCAAACAATACTGAAGAGGTAAGATTTTGTTCAGAAATTTTGATCAAATTAAATCATTGTTTTATGTTTTGGAACAAAGTTGTTGTCCTTGTACTTATCGCGTTTAATACTTTTTCTCTATCTCACAATAATTTAATGAGAACATAAGATTAATTATTTTGATAAGCCAAGTTATGACTGTTGTTGCATAACACGATTTATAATTACCCTGAATCAAAGGGCATTTTTAAAAATTTAAAACTTGACATATTTTATAAATTAAAAAGTGTTAGTATTAAATATAATGAAATTCACATACAGCTTCTTATCATGTCATACTGACCTATAATTTATTGTTTTAAGAATTAAACACTTTTTGTCATTACAATTGTAAATTTAATAATTAACAAGGTCAAATATATAGATTGTCCAAATAATAAACATGCACAATAAAGTAAAATTCTTAAGTGGAGATCAATCCAGGAGGTCAGTCAGTTATCAGTATAATAGGTATATTGTTCACAAAAATGAGCAAAAGGTTCAAAACACATGGTAATAGAAAAATGGAGAACAACAACAATTTGTAATCATATATGCATCATTTTCGACTTCCAAATTAGGCCATTATGATATTATGTTACATGTTTTATGCTAACCGTGTGTATTTACAATGGCGAGATATAGTAGTCCCAGAGTAACTTCATTTTTACAACTGCATCCTATTGTGGGGGAGTTAATTTCTGTACAGTAGGCCAGTTTTTGTCTACACCCATACCTTCATGCAGGCCATAAAAACGAATTAGCATTTGGAAAACTATACAATGTAGATATTTTAAAATAATTTAGAAAAGAATATTAATTAATAATCTCCAAAAGTTCTAGACTGAAATTTTATGATGAAACTCTAATCAAAAGTTGTTGATCGTCCCCATCAGAAATTCGACGGGACCATGTCAGAATTTTGCTGATTAAATCCTATTTAGAGTTTTCAAAACAATATGAAAACTTCAGAAACGATTACTTTGAAGGTTATCATAAACATGGTAAAAGCTATCATGTTTTCTAAAGACGATCTTCGAAATTTAACTAAATACTTCCATGTAGATTTTGGGCCACAGAACTTCTGGCTTCGTTTCTTCAATAACTTACACCGTTTTTCCAGAATCGTCCATTGAAATATCGTAATTTTCAAAAAATTCGAATTTCACACCGAATTTTCATAAACATGCTATATTTTTGGAATCAGTACGTCGGGATATATACATCTCTTAATTTTTTCAGAATTTTTAGACAACTTTTTCAAAAATGAAGTTTTACACTATGGTAGTACTTGCCAAAAAACCTACCCTCTAACAAAAAAAGGGGGTGGGCCAGGCTAGTGTTGGCCAAAATAAGACTCATTTTGTCAAATGACCTACTCTTCCAAGAAAAGGTACTAGCCCCGCCCACCCACCCTTTATTTTCTTAGAAGAGTAAGTGATTTGCCAAAATCAGTCTTATCTTGGCAAGTTGAGACTGATTTTGGCAAATGACAGATCCTCTAAGAAAACAAGGGTAGGTGGCAATTTTACAGTTTTTCGACTTTACAATTTTTCGCTTTTAAATTTTCTAGTTTTAAATTTTTCGTTTCTTAGATGTTTCGATTTTTTAAGTTTCCGGTTTTTCAATTTTTCGTTTTCTTCGATTTTTCGATTTTTCAATTTGTAGGTATTTTAATTTTCCTTTATTTGAATTAAACGATAATTCAAATTTTCACATCTTCAATTTTTTTATTTGAAATTTTTCCAGTTTTCAATTCTTGGTCAAATTTTGCTTTCGTTTTTGCATTTTTAAATTTTGGACAAAAAGAACAAGTTTACTTCAAACATGAATTTTAAAAAATTCAAAACATCTTAGCAGCTACTAAGTCCAACCGCTCATCTTCTATTTTCTTACAGAATATGTCATTTGCCAAAATCAGCCTTATCTTAGCAGCTATAAGCCCCGCCCACCCACCCTCTCTTTTCTTACAGAATGTTATTTGCCAAAATCAGTCTTATCTTAGCAAATATAGTACAGTATAACCTCTATAATCCGAATTAATTGGGGAAAGGTGTGTTCGGATTAGCGAATTTCCCAAAAAGCTGAAAGGGAATTGAACAACCACTTCATACACTGCTGAAAACAAATTTCAAGAAATAAACCTTAATTTTATCAAACAGAAATAAAGTATTCTTAACCAACAATGGATAATACATGACTTTTTCAAAAATGAAATTTCCCATTATATATTCGTATTATATCCCTTATGCAAATTTCGACCCATTGTCGACGATTTTCGAAATTTAACTAAATACTTCCATGTAGATTTTGGGCCACAGAAGTCACTTCTGGCATCGTTTCTTCGATAACTTAAACCGTTTTCCCAGAATCGTCCATTGAAATATCGGAATTTTCAAAAATTTAAAAAAATTCGAATTTCACGCCGAATTTTCCGAAAACATTGCTCCGTTACTATAAACATGCTATATTTTTGGAATCAGCACGTCGGGATATATACATTTATGATTTTTTTCAGAATTTTTAGACAACTTTTTCAAAAATGAAATTTTCACTATGGTAGTACTTGCCAAATAACCTACCCTTTAACAAAAAAAGGGGGTGGGCCAGGGTAGTGTTTGTCAAAATAAGACTCATTTTGACAAATGACCTATTCTAAAAAAAGTTACTAGCCCCGCCCACCCACCCTTTATTTTCTTAGAAGAGTAAGTCATCTGCCAAAATCAGTCTTATCTTGGCAAGTTTCTGTTTATCAACTCTTGAATTTTTCAATTTGTCGCTTTTATAGTTACTTAGATTTTTAAATTTTTCGTTTCAGAATTATTCAGTTTTACAGTTTTTCGACTTTACAATTTTTCGCGTTCAAATTTTCTAGTTTTCAATTTTTCGTTTCTTAGATGTTTCGATTTTTTAAGTTTCCGGTTTTTCAATTTTTCGTTTTCTTCGATTTTTCGATTTTTCAATTTGTAGATATTTTAATTTTCCTTTATTTGAATTAAACGATAATTCAAATTTTCATGTCTTCAATTTTTTGATTTGCAGTTTTTCCAGTTTTCAATTCTTGGTCAAATTTTGCTTTCGTTTTTGCATTTTTAAATTTTGGACAAAAAGAACAAGTTTACTTCAAACATAAATTTTTAAAAATTCAAAACATCTTAGCAGCTACTAACTCCAACCGCTCATCTTCTATTTTATTACAGAATATGTCATTTGCCAAAATCAGCCTTATCTTAGCAGCTATAAGCCCCGCCCACCCACCCTCTCTTTTCTTACAGAATGTTATTTGCCAAAATCAGTCTTATCTTAGCAAATATAGTACAGTATAACCTCTATAATCCGAATTAATTGGGGAAAGGTGTGTTCGGATTAGCGAATTTCCCAAAAAGCTGAAAGGGAATTGAACAACCACTTCATACACTGCTGAAAACAAATTTCAAGAAATAAGCCTTAATTTTATGAAACAGAAATAAAGTATTCTTAACCAACAATGGATAATACATGACTTTTTCAAAAATGAAATTTCCCATTATTTATTCGTATTATATCCCTTATGCAAATTTCGACCCATTGTCGACGATTTTCGAAATTGAACTAAATACTTCCATGTAGATTTTGGGCCACAGAAGTCACTTCTGGCTTCGTTTCTTCGATAACTTGAACCGTTTTCCTAGAATCGTCGATTGAAATATCGTAATTTTCAAAAAATTCGAATTTCACACCGAATTTTCCGAAAATATTGCTCCATTACCATAAACATGCTACATTTTTGGAATAAGCACGTCGGGATATATACATCTCTGAATTTTTTCAGAATCTTGACAACTTTTTCAAAAATGAAATTTTACACTATGGTAATACTTGTCAAAAAACCTACCCACTAACAAAAAAAGGGGTTGGGCCAGGCTAGTGTTTGCCAAAATAAGACTCATTTTGACAAATGACCTACTCTTCCAAGAAAAAGTACTAGCCCCGCCCACCCACCCTTTATTTTCTGAGAAGAGTAAGTCATCTGCCAAAATCAGTCTTATCTTGGCAAATATGAGACTGACTTTTGTAAATGACATATTCTTTTAAAAAATAAGGGTGGGTGGGCGGGGCTAGTACTTGTCAAGATAAGACTGATTTTGGCAGATGACCCACTCTTCGAAGAAAATAAAGGGTGGGTGGGCGGGGCTAGTACATCAAGATTTCTATTTATCAACTCTCGAATTGTTCAGTTTGTTCCTTTTATAGTGACTTAGATTTTTAAATTTTTCGTTTTAGAATTATTCAGTTTTACAGTTTTTCAACTTTACAATTTTTCGCCTTCAAATTTTCTAGTTTTCAATTTTTCGTTTCTTAGATGTTTCGATTTTTTAAGTTTCCGGTTTTTCAATGTTTCGTTTTCTTCGATTTTTCGATTTTTCAATTTGTAGATATTTTAATTTTCTTTTATTTGAATTAAACGATAATTCAAATTTTCATGGCTTCAATTTTTGATCTGCACTTTTTCCAGTTTTCAATTCTTGGTCAAATTTTAGCTTTCGTTTTTGCATTTTTAAATTTTGGACAAAAAGAACAAGTTTACTTCAAACATAAACTTTTAAAAATTCAGAACATCTTAGCAGCTACACCCTTTCTTTTCTTGAGGGTTTGTCATTTGCCAAAATCAGTCTTATCTTGGCAGCTACAAGCCCCGCCCACCCACCCTCCATTTTCTTAGAGGGTATCTCATTAGCCAAAATCAGTCTTATCTTAGCAAATATAGTACAGTATAACCTCGATAATCCGAATTAATTGGGGAAAGGTGTGTTCGGATTAGAGATTTGTTCGGATCAGTGAAATTCCCAAAAAGCTGAAAGGGAATTGAACAACCACTTCATACACTACTCTAAATAAATTTCAAGAAATAAACCTTAATTTTATTAAACAGAAATAAAGTATTCTTAACCAACAATGGATAATACATGACTTTTTCAAAAATGAAAGTATGAGAATGATTTTTGCAAATGACAGATCCT